GGATGAGAGAAGGATTGGTTGTCACGGAAGCTGGACTCGAAGCTGGTGTATGCGTCTTTGGACATCTTCATGGTGAGGAATAGGTTGAGGGGTGCTTGAAGCTATTGTGTTTGTAACATGGCACTACGCTAAAGCTAGTGTAAAGATTTTCGAGTGTTTTGAGTTTGAGAGAATGAAAGTTATGAGAGGATTAGAAAGCTATGAAAACTAATCAACGAGAGAGATCCACAATAAAGGATCGTAGTACTGAACTCCCGCGGGAGGCTTAAAGTGTGTAAGATAGGTTGCGTAGCAATCTACTCACTCCACGATCAAAAACGGAACGCGTGGAAGATCGTCTAGCCTTTATCTAGTAGCGTGAATCTCTCCACGCAGCTAAATATCTAGCGCGATGTTCATCATCGACCTAGATGACTAGCGGTCATGAGACCTGTCTCAATGACTATCACGAGACTCAGTCATGAGTCGAACTCAAACCCTATCTAGGATCGAGTCGCGAATAAGGCTAAGAGCCGTGTATTGCACCAACCAAGGTACCAACCGAAGCTCCCACTAAAGCCCACAGCAGCCGCCCCCCACCACAGTCCCTACAAATACACACAGCTGAATTCCCATCTCCGAAAATGCACCAACAAGAAACCTACGTATACCAAGGCACCAACCCACGGTTGCCCCAGCAGGTGATCGAGTTGGCTGATGTGCAGCCCACTTATTCACGGAAGCGATCACGGTAATCAGCCGCAGAGGGATCGAAGGTTTCGGTTGCATGCTATACAACCACGTCTTTTCTTGCGGTTTGCGGCGTCACTGGATGTTCTTCCGCTTTTAAAATGATCTTGGACACTCTTGGTATACCGGTACTACATCGTGGAGTACTAAATGTACCGCACACGACGTGGTTTTGCATGATCATGTAAAGTAGACTAGTACGTGCCAGTTGTGCGTTATGCAAAGAAACCGATATAGGGTTAAAGTTAAGATTGCCCTCAACCGACTGAGGGTCTTTCACACTTTTATCGCTGTATGTGCAAGTTAGTCTGTACTTCGCTGTGTGTGCAAGTTAGTCTGTACGTCCGGCATAAGGGATGGGGTAAATAATAATTGTTAGTTGGTAAAATATACTCCGAGTACCAAACTATGTGTGTGTGCAAGTTAGTATGTACGTCCGCCATAAAGGATGGGGTAAATAATAATTGTTAGCAGGTAAAACATACTCCGAGTACCAGAGTATGTGTGCAAGTTAGTCTGTACGTCCGTCATAAAGGATGAGGTAAATATTAATTGTTAGCTGGTAAAACATACTCCGAGTACCAATGTGTGTGTTTTGGTTGGCTATCGATAGACTACAGTAGACTGTGTGTTCAGTTGAACACAGTGTTGGATTTGGCCAAAGAATCAAATCTCTTTTTTGACAGTTGAGGGCATCAGCCTTCGGCTGTCTGTTCTTATTTGTCGGTTTTAATTAAATCTACAATCTTAAAATCCGCAAGGCCGATTTTGGTCTTGGATGTTCAGCTGGTCTTGGACATTTTGACTCTTGGACAGTAGGCTACTACCAGTACTGTACTGCAAATACGGAAATAAACCGAGTCGAAGGAGCCGAAGGTTCGAGGAGTTAAAAGTCGGTGGTCAAAACAGGATGCTGTAATGGCATTGTACCTTCGCTTGAAGAAAAAGATCACCAAAAGAAACAGTCATTAATTCCTTCGTGGTAAACAAGGTAAAGTTCAAATACTCTAAGTAAAATTTTGATCACGTGACATTTACCAGAGCTCGCACCTCGAGAGGTACGGTACAGTATGACGTTGGCTGACGTTTTTCGCAGAAGACAATTTTGATGACGATGATCGATGATGACAAGGACAAACCTCATCCCAAGGCCAACACGATGATGAATGAGGAAGAGAAGAAAGAGTGTCGATCGAGATGGTGCTTCCGTTCAGCTCAATAGAGTTTCAAGCTTCCAGCTAAAATACTCCTGACAATGATCAGGTCCTTGACGCTGTTTCCCGCGGTGGCATGGCTGCTCGGTAATAATCTCTTGCTTTCGTCGCGCCAGGAGGTATCTGCATTCGTTGCCACACCCTATTATGGCTCTCGAACTCATCATCGGTCGCAACCGTTCCTTCTTCACGCTGTCAAGACAGATGAAGAGATTCTGGAGATTGTGCGCGAAGGCATTGCAGAAGCCGATGCCACGGCGGCATGGAACGAGTGCGTGACACTACTGCAGGACTCTGGGGTAGTAGTGATTGCAACGACCCAACAAGAGACGGAGATGATCTTGGCCACGGCATTGGAATGGAGAGGTTGGGCGCGAGTGTCGTCTGCCATGGCCCGCAAGTTTATGAAACCCAAACAACCCGATCCAGTCAAGTTGCAAGCGGCGTTGCAGTGGTTGAAAGACGGTCCCTTGGCATTGTCGGGAGATGCGCTGGGAGAGGCGATTCAACAGAGTCCCGCGGCGTATCTGATTGACCCCGAAGCAGCCTACCAAGAAGCCTTACAGACGGCACCCGCCAAATACAAGGATCCCGACTATTTCAAGGCAGTCTTGCTACAAGATCCGTCCGTCTTGGAATGCAGCTACAATTGCGTCGACGAGGGATGTGGCTCGGAATGTGGAAATTGTTGGGTTTCGTATGAAATCAAACGCGGAAGTAGCGTACCTGACCCCTTTTAGTTTCTCTTTTAAGTAGATGCCAGGACCTATTCTATCCATACTACTGCACTGTAACTAATAGCAACAGCCTAGCTAGTCTAGTTTTGTTCTCCTGATCCTCAGTTTAGTAGTTTTTCTACAACTTCCAGCTGCCCCATGGATCTAACGGTTTACTACATGTTCGACTGGGCACTCAAGTTCCTACAGGTAGGAATGTATAGGTCAGACGGATCTACCTGCCTGCTACTATTGCAATATAAAAGCCACCGTCGATTTGGATTGCCGGTCAGGTCGGGCCAGGAATGGATTCGATTCATGCCTCGTGCTGGTCTATGGGTGAAATAGTAGAATCCGGAAGGGTGGATTTGCAGGTAGTGTTGACAATGGAAGTAGAACTTTGGCTGTTTGTATACCACTAAAACCAGTACAAGGGTTCAGCGGAAGTCCTGGCATGTTGAAAAGAGCTATAGGGCTGCCAGGTCTCAGTTGGTCAGCCTTGCTAATGGTGTCCTTCAGAGACGTTTTCTGACTAGCTACCGGTAGTTTTTCCTAATTGCATTGGTTTGGTCGAGGGCTGTTTCGATAGCTAGGGTAGGGTAATTTGGTATGGGTGTCAACATGGCAGGCAGCTAGATAGGGATTAGTACCACAGTACTAGACGAGATCAGAGGTACTGAGCGCTAGGACTTGTCATTTCTACTTCTACGTGCCATTTCTGCTGGGCACAGGCAAAACAGTCGTGCTTCAATTTCTTGACTGTAAGCTCCCTGTACCAGTACTTGCTAGCTAGACGCTAGGCAACCCAAATCAGCATTAAACCAGAGACCACAGAGGACACCAAGGAGAAACTTCTTCCCGTCGCAACTACACCGGAGGGTGGATCCGTAGACTCGGGCGTCGATGCATTCACTGTAAACTCGCAGGGTAGATCGCAACAATCGTATGTGCAGTCTGTTCCAGCCCCACAAGTCATGTTTTGAACCTTCTTGCCAACTCCATTAAATGTTTCCGAGCCGCCCTTGAGAAAGGAAAAGGAACCTGTCACAGTGCATGATTCAGGGGCATCACAACTGTACCAATGGCTGGAAAAGTAGCCTTCGCATGGCACCGATTCAGTACTGGTACTACTGGTACCATCGGCGCTGCTATTAGTGCTGTTTTCCTGGCATCTTGTCACAACGACCAAGGAGAGAGCCGTCACAAGTAGAAAAGACAGAGATAGCCTCATGGTACCGGTAGTGGTTGGTTTCTTTTTGCGCCTTTTAAAAGTGGTGGTGTGATGGTACCGTTAGTACAGTAGTTGAAAGCTGAAGTCGGAAGGCGGGGGCTGTCAGTGGGTGGGTGACTGTGTGTTGATTGAAGCGGAAACACACAGGGATCGCGATGGCCAATGCACAATAACACAATGAAGGAGGAATCGAATCGAATGAATGATCAATCGAACAGAGCATGAGGAGAAAGCTCAAATTGTGATACGTATGGAAAACTTCCCATTAGTTGCTCAAACTTTAAAACTATTTAAGCCCCGCGACGCCAGCGGCTCTTAAATACCAAGCGAATCGCCTAAACGACTCGCACCTCCTCACACGATTCCTCTGTCACACCCAAAATTGCAGATCGAGCTCGGATGCAACGGTCAATTCGAGGTCGAGCATTGGACCTTTTTCCTTTCAAGTACAACGTGTAAGCCAATGCGGTAAAACTACAATCAAGTACTATCTTCATGTCTGACAAAGATGGCGTTTAAGGCACGCAAGAGACAGTCCATACCAGCAGTGCTGCTGGGGCTTCTCCTGGTTGTCGTTTTTCTGCTGGAGGTATCGCCCGTGTTTGGACAAGAACATCAACATCATCAACGAGAGCTACGCAAGGGAGTTTCTCCACCGTCTTTATCACCCAACCAGATTGCTGACACACAGTTGCAACAAGATCAGGGAATAACGATAAAAAAGACGCAACGAAAGCGAAAACGTGGGCGTCGTCATCGCATGCTCCAGGCCAAGGGACGCGCACGGCGGAGCAAGGGGCGGGGACGGGCGGAGGTCTTTCGTAGTAAACGAAGTCGTAGCATTGACTCTATCCATGATGCTCGACAAGGAGGAAGACCCGTCCGATGCATTGTTCGAGGAGAGCCTGTCGTCGCAGCTGTAGGGTATCGCCGCCGACCCAATGTTGGACGTGCTCGTGTGTCTCGACGAGGAGGTGGCAGCAGTCGAGGACGACGGGATCTTCAAACAAGACGACAGAGTCGTAATGAAGAATACTGGCCAGATGTTGACTCGGTCGACGATTGCTTCTTTGGAGTCTTTGCGATTCCTGCCGGGGCCAGGGTGACGAGACCGCCGACTCCAGCAACCGTGGCATCGGTAGCACCCAGCGTCATGCCCTCATATGCACCCTCTGTCAGTTTTAGACCGTCGGTTAGTTCTAGACCATCTTCAAGCACCGCCAATTTCTTCACCGTCACACCTGGCACCACCGAAGCACCCAGCATATCCTTCCAACCGTCTGTATCGGCCAGTCCCTCCAACCAACCCTCGGTTTCTTTGACTCCATCCAATCCCGGAGCAACAGCGGCAGCTATCATCTCGGCACCCACCATTACTCCACGAAACTTCCCTGTCAGTGCCGTGTCTCGGACCATTTCGGCTACTCTGGATTTTGGATTCTTTCTGGGAGCCGCCATTACCACTCCCAGCAATGCGGAACTGGTAGGAATCTTGCAAGAGATTGACGAATTCTTCACGGGGACCATTTCGCAATCGCGCTTTGGAGGCGCATTTACCGGGCTGCAAGTCGATCACATTCGTACCGATTTTGATCCCTCGCAAATCGCCACGGCGGCCAATCAAGACGGGTTCCCCGTGTCCTTGGTCATTGAGTTGGTTGTGAACTTTGTGGACGGGTTCGGCATTACGGTACCCACGGGGGATGAATTAGTGTTAGTGATGGAAGAAGCCAATTATGTCGATTTCATTGAAAGCTATGCCTGGGGTGCCGAACCCCAAGGAGGGATCTTCTTTGAAACGAGTCTAATCCAGTTTGTGGGGGTCGCTAACGGGGTACGAACATGAGAATTGATAGTCGGGGGTTTACAGGATGAACAATGACCTTGAGCGGGGATACAACCTAGCTAGAGAGGGATGATCAAAACTATCTCCTTGGTTTCGCCAGGCGTCGCCCTGGGGTCCGTAGCAACTGTATTACTACCGAATGAATGCGCTGTGCACACAACACCGCGAATCAGAACGAGCCAGTGCGCTCTTTCTTCCTGAAGTCCATTGATCCAAAGATGCAAGCCCAACACAAGCAGCAGGTAACCGCAAGAGTGGATGGGAAAGAAGAGCTCCCCGGGCGCAAACCAGATTTCGTGCTCTTTTTCCTTATCTCCATCGATTCAAAGATGCAAGCACAACAAGCAACAGGGAAGCAGAGTGGATGGGAAGCAAATCTCCGCAGATTGGCAAACCAGAATTCATTCTGAATGTCAACGCGCGATGTCCATCGTTGAAGAAGAGCCGGGCGCACCTATCTGGATGTCATTTGGAGAGTGTAACAGTTCGCGCCATTGGCAACAATCTGTGGGCACCCTTACGGTAGTTGCCGTCCTATTTGAGCACTACTACCTGTAGAACAGCCAACCTAACCTAGGAGGAATCTGAGAAAGGCCGCTTCTGTCATTTCTGCCTGCAAGCAACAGCTCGAAGCACCAAGCGGCGGCAAAATCTCATCAACTGGCTGTCTTGAACTACGCACTTTTGTCACATGTATATACCGGTAGTTTTGACTGCCAACAATTGACTCAGTGTACGCGAAGCCAACCTCCCGATTTGTACACAGCCATTGTGGTACCGTGCTGTCTTGTTTGCGGTCAGTAAGAAGGCCAACGATACATTATATCAAAGCAACCACTACAACCGTAACACTCGAAAGACACTGGGAAGCGCACGATCCTTCAGCGGCTGCCGACATGACTCATCAGATTCCGGCAGACGACTTGGTCACAGTATTTCTCTGCGACAAGTTCAAGGAACGCTCCAAGACGGCCCGAGTTTGGATTGAAGTCCGCAATCCACACCACCAATGACGAAGGTCGTTATTGCCGCTCCAGCAGCAGTATCACCAAGCAAGCCACCGATCAAGCAGAGTGGACTCTTCAGCGCCACAATCAAAGTTTGCACGAGCTTGCTGATTTATCCTCTATGGCATACGTTACCTATACTGTCCGTGACTCTTGGCTGCCCAGCCCTGGATCCAATTGACCCTGCTGAATCTTCCCATGCTCCTACTCCCTCTGATCCTGTCACCCAAGAACATGTTGATCCTCTGGTTCATGGCTGGCTTCTGGCATCGAGGTACGGATTGTATATCTTCGATGTCTCCCTCATGGGTGTTGAGTCTCCTGGTTGGCGTGACCGCGTTATCACTACTGCGAAGGCCCTTTCCCAGCACGAGAAGACCAAGAAGACGAAGTACCACAGCCATGGCGGTGCCGTGCTGTCTTGTTTTCGGCAATTTTAAGGCCAGCGATACATGATGTACCGCACGGGGCGTCTAGTAGAGAAGGGAGCAACCACTAGCTAGTTTCGCTTACTAACCTTGAGCACTACTAGCTAGTTTGGGGTGCCAGTAACCAGCGCAGTCGAACACAAGATGCCGGCCAGCATAAATCACTTGCTCAATAAATGTTAGCTACTAGTAACTACTACACAGGAAGTCGCTCTCACATGCTTTTTAAGCGCTCTACACTGCTGTTATGCGTCAGTACAGCAGAACTTCATCGCGATCGACCAGGGGAGAGAAACGTGCTGAGTGATGCCATTCTTTCAGCCAGACCCATCCTTCTTGACAGCCTCTCTGATTCGACGACGGAGACCAGTTGCAAACCTATTATAGCCCAGAAGAGGCCAGCCATGCAACGGGGTACTCGAGATCCACGTACGAATTCTCGGGCCACCCCTCAATTCACTCATTCCTTATACTACGTACGATACTGCACATTCGTTCGTTCGGTCCTTCAAGGAGACATGCTGCTGTTGTTGCCATGGCCGTTGTTGTCCTCCCGAGCCCACTCCGTGGCAGCTTGTACCAATCGATGGGGTTCATCGCGTATGGCATCATGCTCCAACAATAAGCGGTTGTAGCCCCCGATCAACTGTGTCGGATTCATGGTGAGGAGCATGGGTTCGCGTCGCAAGACCGCGGGTGGCAATCGCAACGTTCGGGTAATGGTTTTGGCGGCCTCCAGCACTTGAGTGTGTGAGAGACGTAGCAACTGAGGTGCTTTTTGGAGGAGTGCTTCTTCCCCGGCACTGGCCGCCATAGCGTAAGGTTCCCAGGATCCATTGGACATGTCTCGAGGGAGTACCCAGATATCCATCAATCTCTGTCGTGTGAGGGACCACAATTGGCCGTCCTGCCAGTTTTCGTCGTCGTTGTGGTGTGATTTCTCTTCTTCCCACGGCAATGGTGCCTGTGCGGCCGTCACAATGGAGGGAGTGGGACGCGATGGCTCGGATATGGAGAGTTCACCAAACTCAGCGGCGGACAAGTGGGTGGTGAAGCGTCTTTGGGAACGACAGGATGGAGCATTGTCACTGAGAACAACAGCTCTGGTCGGCAGTTGTTGTGTCATCACCGGCGCTTGGAAGGCGGACGACCTATCCGAGCGCAAGAATGCAAGGAGAACAAGGCAAACACTTGGGTGGATCATGGCTTTTTAAATTGTTCTCGGCAACACAGCGGGTAAGTAACTATCTGATCTTGGAGTCTGTGGCTTGGAGTACAGCGTATGCTGTCTGGCAAAGTAAGATTGGCTTGGGCCCATTGGCTTGGGCGATGGCTGCGATTTCTTTGTTCTGGTGTTTAGATTTGGATTTGGGGATCGAGCAATCCCATGTGACGTGTCTTTCATGAATGATTCAACCAAAGATCCATCCAATCATTTTCGTTCCCTCCTGGTACCGACCGGTACCAGTACATCCCAAACTCAGTCTACCGGTACCGTATTACTAATATACAACCGTAGTCACATGATAGAGGGTATCAGTCTTTGGGGGATCGCACTGGTTGGTGGGACCCACCTCTAGTCATAGTAGCACCGGCCACCCCCTACTTAGCGCTAAGTAAGGGAATCTAGTATTGGGGGATGGTGATACGGATAAGTCATTGAGAGTATTTTGCCAGGAAAAACAAGGCATTTGAGGGTATCCAATACTACTCAGAATCGCATTGGTAGTTGCATCGGGTGCCTCAAAATACAACTTTTCGCCTAAGTATCTCTGCCCAAATACAACTTCAATCGTACGAAACGTTCCGCGAAACCCAAAGACTTAACGCCCGGAACGTCCCTCTTAGTGTTGAGAGAGGGTAAACTCCACAAGATCCCCTCAGCGCAACGCCTGTATCCCGTAGTACGGCCGACTTGGCCGTTGGATGCAGAGCGATGGAGTACCTCCGACTGTCATTCTTCACCAAATTCCTCTCATAAATTTCGATCAAGGCAACTTTCAGCGAAAGCTATGTTGTTTTACTCCAAACTATTGCTATTAGCTATCGCTATTTTGTTACTCATCGCTATTTTGTTACCGGCAACTTGCGACCATGGCGAGGAAGAGGAAGTCGCTTGACCAACAATACCGGCCGGCACTCACCAGGTTTATGTCTTGGAAGCATGGCCGGCAGACACCATACAGTAGCAAGAGGAACTTCACACAGGTACGTTCGTTCGCCAAACCTCTCATTTCGTCCTTCCACGATTTCGCTCACCATGGTCGCTCTTCTTCATTTTTTGTTCTTGTTCTTCAGGACCAGCTCCTTGCCATTACACCCACTGATGTCGCCCGGTTCATGAACTTCCTTGCCTATGGGAAGACCAACCCTGTCCCAATGATCGTCCCACCCAAAAGAGATCTTCCACTCTTGAACAGTACAAGAAGGCCATCAGCCACTTCCATCCCAACAGGCATGCACCATGGGCGGTTGGTCCCAATGTTGGGAATCCAACTCGCTCCACGAACGTCAATGAAGTGATCAAAGCTGTGAAGAAGGCGGAGGTCAGGAAGCAGGAAGGAAATCCAATGTCAAGCGAGATCTCAAGCTTCGAGAATTCCGCAAGACCATTCGGATCCTGGAGCTGATGGAGGTGCCAACATGACCTCACGATCAAGACTCAACCATGATGAAGGTTCAGTTCCACATGATTGTCGAACTGATGATCTGACGAACATAGAGACATTGGACTTCCGAAGCCACGCCAAGTTCCAAACATCGCTCTCCAAACCAAGGTATCTGGAGCAAGAACGTCCAGGAGGAGCGCGATTGTCCTGACCAAATTTTGCTGGGTGCCGCTGACCCTGACTTTTGCTCCTGATTGCCTTGGCTATTTGGATCGAACTCGGCTTGAGAGGGGACACGGTGATCCCAAGTTTCTGTTTGGCCATTACCGTGTCGACGATGAAGAAGCGTTCCTTGCCGCCATTGAGGGCTCTGGACAACGACGAAGAGCTCGACGAGACCAACATTGAGACGGAGCCAGATCGAGTCAACGCCTGGTACCAACGCGTCTTGAAGAAGGCTTGGAAAGACCCTGAGTTCGTGTAGCTGGCCAAGCAAGTGCAGGGTAGCCTTGTACCCACAGTCTTCGAAAGCTGCCTCCAACCTATGCAGCCGAGGTGGCATCACCCAAGCCGAGAATGAGGCTCGTGGTCGCTGGAGGGCGAGAAGAATGGCCATATTGTCCATGTCTACATTGGACTGGAACAATTGCCGACCGACGCCAAGGTTGCGGGAACTCTTGCTGTTGGAGGCCCCGTCAAGTACTCGATCAAGATTGACAGCGGTGTTGATCATGGGTTCATTGGCGAGCATGTCTGTCCTTCCCTTTGTGACTTCTTTGCCGACGACCCATCCAACAACCTACCAATGGTGCTTGGTCCAGCTTCTTTGGGCTGCGATGGAACTGGCTTGGAGCATATGATCGGCAGATTCGCAACGCATCCAGACGAGTATGCCCAGCTTCGACCACTTTGGATGAGGATCCTGGGGCCGACTACAACCCAGTCGCAAGATCCCTCTGACAATCTACAAGGTAGCCAATGCATTGCACATTACTGAGTTGGCTCCCACCGCCCAGGTCCAAGCTGGTGCTGAGCCCTTGGTTGGAGGTGCTCCTGGTGGGTCAACATGGAACAGCTCAACCAATTGCTTGCTCTTCAACACAGACTCAGCAGGCAATCGAGGAGGCCCAGCAGATTCTTGCACAGGACATCAGCTCCTTGAGGGGCTATGTTTCGACCAACATGGCCATCGTGAACAAGAACATTGGGAGGATCAACCACTTCCAGTTGATCGCGAGGGGTGGTGGTGCTCCAAGGCTTCCGCTTCCTGGTGCGCCCGGTGGAGCTGGCGTTGGTGGTGGTGCTGCGGGAGCTGGCGTCGGTGGTGCTGCTGGCGTCGGTGGTGCTGCGGGAGCTGGCGGCGGTGGTGCTGCTGCGGCGGGCGGAGGACTTCCCCCACCACCACCGCCGAGTCCTGGGCGTTTGGCCCGTCCTCCTGCCGCAAGGGCCCCTACACCCGCTACCCTGCCAGCCCAGCTTTCGAAGAAGCCTTTCAACCTCTACGAGCTGTGGGACGAGTGGATCAAGGGCCTGAATGGCAACAAGGCGGCTTGCGAGTTCACCGCTCGTGAGCGCGGCCGCGTCAAGGACAAGTTCTGCCGCCGCAAGCATGTGTGGGACTGTGTTATTCGGTTGATGGCCAAGGGCTTTGATTGGAGGGCTATGGTTGACCGCATCTATGCCACCTACGGGTGGCTTACGGTCACCCAGATCATCAACAAGTTCAAGCACGACAAGAAGAATCAGCCCACCGGCATCCACCCACGCTTGCGTTGAGCGAACTGCCTTGGTGGTGGCACCCAGCCTACAGCGCGATCCTGCTGTAGGCATAGCAAAAACAAATTTTATATGTTTCATTTTAGTTTTAAGAATTTTTTGTGGTTACTGTTCTGTTTCTTGTTGTGTTTTGTTATCTTGTTTGTGATCTGAGCGATTTTGTCTTTGCCGTTCGTGGACTTGGACTTTGCGAGTTTCGACACTTGCGATCTTTTGCTTGGATTGTCTTCTTCTTGCGTCAGTGACATCAGATCTGTTCAGTGATCGATCGATTGCATGCGTCAGTGTGTTTGCGAAAGCCTTCGTTCATACCAGTGTCGATGTTCCAGCGAGCCAGTCGGTCGTTCGATGTTCCAGTCAGCGAGAAAGGTAGAAACACCCACAAACATAAGGAAAGACAGGGTAACACGTAGAGCCTGGTACTCCATGTACACGGTTGTATTCCCAGTTTCATGGGGAGCAGATACCCTTACCGTACTTGCAATAGGGGGTTTAGAGCACGGTGGGGTGGTACCGGTAGATCTAGTCATCTAAACCATATGGAAGCCGGTACCGGGCGAAATTACTTCACAACCTTACATCTATTTGATGATGGTGATGCCTTCAACTTTTCCCATTCTTCTACTGAACAGCAGGGGCTCTGGTGGTAGAGCGCTCTTCGGATCCGACATCGTAAAAGTGCGCAACTCACAGGATTTCAAACACAGATTATCGTGATTACAACTGCGGCTACCTAGCTTGCTAGCTAGGTGTTGCTATGGCCATCGGAGGCTCTCTCTCCTCTCCCCACATTACCGTTCCGCCGGCGAGCAAACCAACCAACAGCCCGGGAAGACGAAGGCTCATTCCCATTTTGAACAGCGCCAGGCTACTCTGGCGAAAAAGTTGAGAATTCTCAAACCTACTGGCTCCAACACAAATCTGAAGATCAAGTTGAGAATTCTACAATCACCCTAACCCAAACCATCAAAAATCCTTCTGCTGATTCTGAGGAGTTATCACCTTTTTCAAAATTCTCAACTTTTTCGTCACAGTAGCAGGCACCAGCATACAACATGTTCCACTGACCTAAACAAGCATCCTTGCTCTATAGTAAAAAAAACTGAACATCTAATAACGGATTCAGACATCCCCGGGTATTGGACCTAACCACGCATCCTTGCTCTATAGTAAGTCGCTGCCAGCTATGCGCATCATCACTTCAAAGGGGAAGAATGACCCAATCGAAGAAGGTGATGTTGGTGCAAGGCACTGTTAAATAATTATCATTGCTCCAGTACAGTTGTGCTACTCAGTACTCTTAAGTACAAGTAAGTACTCTACAGCTTGACGGACGACTCCATTGCCTCCGCTTCCGCCTTTCGCCTTCAACTCTGTCTAGCTAGTAGAGCCTCATAGTCATGGTGTTTGTCCACTACGAGTACGAAGGGAGCGTAGAAAAACAAATAAAGAGCGAGGGGGGCGAAGGCAAAGCAGTGGCTGCGAAGGGAGCATTGCTGCTACGGTTACATCGTCAAGGAAGAATCGATCATTTCCCTACTAGGAGTAGTACTCTATCTTTGACTACTCGACACCGGTACAGCTACTCGAGCCATCGAGCCACCCGCCCGTCTTGACTTTCTGCAGCTTGTACAATTAGGAATTAACAGAAGATTCCTTGGTACAGTAGCGAAAGTTCAAGAAGGCACAATGACAATTTCTAAATAAAATCCATCCTGCTTTTTGACCATTGACATTCTATGACCAACGGTTGAGATGGAGATTATCTCCCGTGAGGACGCTCCAAATAGTACTAGCAAGTACTAGTAGTAGTTCCATCTCTAGCTAGGGCAAGCAGTTCAGATTGCTTCGAAGTGCCAGACATGCACCAAAGTGTCCAAGACCCTTGCAGCCAAGCGGTGATACGGTACCGGAGAAGAAAATTGTCAACTCCACTTCATTTTTTTGTTTGGCAAACTCCAGCAAATTCTACCTTTCAACTCCAAACAGCAAAACAACGAGCACTGCATTCGTCAGAGCCAATTACCAGTACCCTCCTCTTAACCAAGCACACAAGATAACCAAGATGAACTCTCTTTGGTCTCCCCCCAACATCAACGAGGAAGAAGAGGAGATTACTGTTCCTAATCCCAACTCTGTTCCTGCTGATTCCCCAATGACTGATATATCAGGTACTGCTTTTGATCCTTTTCGATCGCAGATGTTGCTCTCCACTAGGACCTCTTTGGCTGCTCCTGATGGTCCCATGTATCCATTTGACGTCTTGGCTGAAGCAGGTGCCATGGAAGGTGGAGACAAGAAGAACGATGACGATGATGAGGATGATGATGATGATGACCCATTCGATGACCCAAAGAAGAACAACGGAGATGATGACGCTGGGAGTGAGTCTCCCAGCAACCTTGACTTCTCCATTTCCAGTATGGATATTGAACGTGGTATCCATAATAGTGCCATACAATATGTGGCTTTTGAGGCCATGTACAGCGCTGCATACGACGTTGTGTATGGTGCCTGTATGTGGCCTAGGCTCCTACTCAGCTACTGCCTAGGCATGTTTGGCTTGATGCGTAAGAAAAACAATGACGCTGATGGACCACTGCCACCGGAAGACAACAACCACGTGCAAGACATGGCTCTAGCAGCTTCCCAATCAGCAGCCATTGGAATAGGAGCAGGAGTTATGGCAAGTCAGTCGGCTGCTGCTGGAGCTGGGGCATCCTCCATGACAGCAGCTGTCTCGACCCTTTCCACGCCTACCAAGATTGGCATCATTGTGACGGCGGCCATTACAGTGGCTGCTACTACTGCGGGAATTGCCGCAGGAATCAGTGGCGACAGCGACAACATTGTTGGCCCCTGCGCTGGTAGGATTGAAGCCACTGACGTCAAGCAAGGTGTGGTGCAAATCGCCTTTTCTTCATCATACATTAGCAGCACCGTTGACACACCTGCCACCGGCGAATTGCTCTTACAGAACAAAAATGAATTGGAAGATACTTTTGCCCAAGTCTACAACAATGTCACTGCGAATTCTACTAACGGTGGCCTCGTTGATCCATGTGATATTCCCCGCATCCCAACTGGTGGTGTCCAGCTGATGCAGGTTGAGTCTTCTGAAGGGGACAATTTTACCAATACCTTTTGGGTTGCCGATGTTCATTGCAATGGATGCACCGACACAGACCCACTTTTTGGAACCAACACAGAAGGTAGTCCCGAACTTGATCTTGCGGGGACTGTTGTTGATGATTTTGTCGACCAGTTTACTCAAGCTATACAACCCATTCTGACTACAAATGATCCAACACAAGAAACTGACCCAATGACCAGCCCACCACAGCCGGAACAACAAGATCCACCCAAAGATGTTTTGTTTGTGGCGCTGGTGGATCCTATGACAGGAGAGAGACTCCCAGAACAGCCTCAACAGATGGGACCTGGTGATATGATTGAGGCGATTCCAAGTTTAGACACAGTTTGGAATGAAAACACAATTGATGCGGAACAAGACAGACTAGTACCAGGTTCTCCTTCTTCGGCTGTTGCATCTGCTCCAACAACCACCACCAACACAGGGCCGCCTACTGCTACAGATGCTAATCTTCCTACCGCAACTACCAGCACAGAGTCAAAGCCTACCCCAACTGCAGCTGCACCCACAAACACTGGAATCACGGAATCAAGTTCCAACAATGAGATGCCCAATGTCCCACCAGCAGCAGGAAGTGGAGTATCCAATCAGGGAGCCACTATTGGTCCAACTGTTGTTTCTGGCCAAGCCAGTTCTGTTGCCACCAACCCCATTGTTACCAAACAACCAAGCGGTAATGCTGGCACTTTTGCTCCAGCAGCAACAAGTCCATCATTCTCAATGGCCAATAAAGATCAAGTTACAACCAATGACAACCAGCAGCAAGAACCAGGGCCAACCTACAAGCCAAAATCATTAGCACCAGCTACATCAAATATCAACCTCATGTTGCCATCCTTTGTGATCTCGGTACCAACATCAACATCAGCCAATGGCAATACATCACCAAGTGTGGCTCAGCCAATGACCCCTTTTAATGTGGACCAGACCAACACCCAACCCACAGCAAGCGTTCCAGCCCCTAATCCTAATCGTCCCACTGATGTTACCGTTCCCCAGGCACCAAAACAGGCTCCATCACCTGCAGGCATTCCAAACATAGGCCCAGTCAGCCCGAATGCTAAGATGCCAACAACAGAGCTAACAACCAGTTCTCCAGCAACCCTTGGAACACCCACAAAAGATACGCTGACAATGGTTCCAACAAGCGAGAGGATGCTATCACCAGAGACATGTGCTGGTATGCAAATGTTTGCAGGGCCCCGTGCTTCATCAGGAGTTTGCAACAACATCAATAAAGGTGGTGGCAATGATCCATCTTCTTCCCGTGTATCCATTTATCCTACCATATCAAGGGTAACCCTAACTCCATCAACAATGAAAGCATTGAATGATTTCACCAACACAGGATTTCTATCTGACTCATCCATAAGGACATCTGCCAACCCTACAGTGCAACCTCAAACAAATATCCCCACTTCAAACCCCACTTTTGAACCAACAGATAGCCCAACCATGTCTCCTACCAACCAGACAATAGATGACCCAACCAGTAGTCCTAGTATAAAAGAAACAACATCACCAACTGAGAACTCAACGCCCATTCCAACAATGGATCCCACAAGTAATCCATCCCAACAAATCACCAGTCAGCCCATTAGCAGACTGTCGCAAGCACCGACAGCGACCCAGCCATCAGTGCAGGATGACTATTTCGTTTCCTTTAGTGGACCAACCACCAGTTGGATGGACCAAGAGATGACGGATGGTTTCGTGGAGGCATACGGCTCCCTCCCCGGCACTGGTTCCACCATTGATGCCATCGACGTTGGTCAACCAGTCAGTACTGATGATGGCTTCTACCTTGAGTTCACCGTGACGTCCAGTCCAGAGGCCTTGGACCAAGACCTCACGTCGTCTGAGGACCTGTTCCTGCAGGAGTACAACGAGGAGATCGAAAATACCGGGACGGTTGCCTTGTCTCTGAGTATGGAGTCCCCCAGCAGCAGCCCATCAGTGCAGGAGGACTATTTTGTTTCCTTTAGTGGACCAACCACCAATTGGACGGACCAAGACATGGTGGATGGATTCGTGGAGGCATACGGCTCCCTCCCCGGCTCTGATTCTGCGATTGATGCCATCGACGTTGGTCAACCAGTCAGTACTGATGATGGCTTCTACCTTGAGTTCACCGTGACGTCCAGTCCGGAGGCCTTGGACCAAGCCCTCATGTCCTCTGAGGACCTGTTCCTGCAGGAGTACAACGAGGAGATTGAAAATACCGGGACTGTTGCCTTGTCTTTGAGTATGGAGTCCCCAAGCAGCAGCCCATCAGTGCAGGATGACTATTTCGTTTCCTTTAGTGGACCAACCACCAGTTGGACGGACCAAGAGATGATGGATGGTTTCGTGGAGGCATACGGCTCCCTCCCCGGCTCTGATTCTGCGATTGATGCCATTGCCGTTGGTCAACCAGTCAGTACTGATGATGGCTTCTACCTTGAGTTGACCGTGACGTCCAGTCCGGAGGCCTTGGACAAAGCCCTCACATCCTCTGAGGACCTGTTCCTGCAGGAGTATAACGAGGAGATCGAAAATACTGGGACTGTTGCCTTGTCTTTGAGTATGGAGTCCCAAAGCAGCAGCCCATCAGACGCACCCTCATTGAATGAGGCATCTATGATACCATCTTCCAGTCCATCAAATCATAGCATCGAGGCAGATTTCAGTCAGATCACAGGCTTTTTACTGGTCGATGCTGATTCCGGGGATGACATTGGGGAGCTCACAAATGGTATTGCACTTGACCTCCATGATATCTATGGCTCTCTGTTGCATGGACAAACGAACCGAAGGTCTCTTCAAAATGATCCCAACCCTAGGAATTTGAACATGCGGGTTGTTTCCAATCCAATTACTCTTGACAGTGTGGCCTTTTATGTGAATGGAGTCTCTACAAGGACGGAAACTGCATACCCATACGCATTGGCAGGTACAGATCCCGAGGAAAATTTTCTTCCAAGTCAAACATTGGTGACAACAACAACTTCTCTTGTTCTCAAAGCAGTGCCGACATTGAATGGTTTTGTGGGAGCAGAGCTGGAAATTACCCTTAGTATCGTGGCTGCCCCAAGAAGCACTCCAACTACAGCCCCTACAATGGCACCCACAAAAATTCCTACAGATGCACTCACAAAAGCTCCTACAAGGATACCCACCAAGGCTCAAACATCAAGTCCTACTAAGGTTCCAACAACAGCGCCAACGATAGCTCTCACTGATAATCCAACTAGGACCCCAACCCCACAGCCAACGAACCAACCACTGCCACAGCCTTCTGAAGGGCCGACCAAAGCACCGACTGCACTTCCAACGAACGCACCAACAATGCTCCATCCTCATTCCCTAGCATTTCACCATCCGATGCACCATCCACCAGGCCATCAACTACACCCTCCAAACTCCCTAGCACCAGTCCTTCAGATATCCCGTCCTCAACTCCTACCAACGCCCCTACTGAGGTTCCTTCTAAATTGCCATCATCTGCCCACTCTGCTGCTCCAACTCCTGGTACGAAATCATATGCTGCTCAATCTATGCAAATTCATCTCTGGTTTCTCCACTAAAGGATTTTGCAATTTTGTTTCTACCACATGTAGTCTTTGGTGACAAAGATGCTTTGATTGCAGCCCTGGAACAGGGTGACTACTCACCCACAGGTCCTTTTGGTAAGGAATTCGACCCATGGTGTTCAACTGAAGTAGCATGTCTAATCTTGTTTGTTTCTGCTCCTAAATTCTAGGCTCCATTCAATCATGGAATGTGCAAGCAGTGGATAACTTTGGTATGTGCACCTCATGAATATGTCTGCCCGTTAATCGATCCTTGGAGCTCACACGAATTTGTCAAAAGACTCTTTGATCAGTGGTCTTACAAATGTGGCTACATTCAATGGGGATGTCAGCATGTGGGATGTCAGCGGAGTAACTTCCATGGACTCTGTTTTCCTAAGTAAGTCGACGTTGTCGTGATTTTAAAAAATGCTAATCACCCTTGATGGGATCAAAACTTTGTCTAATTACATGTGCACAGATGCTACTGTGTTCAATGTCCCACTGAACAACTGGGTTGTGTCAAGTGTGACTAATATCAGAGTGATGTTCAAGAGGTCTGGATTCAATTCTGATCTATCCAGCTGGTAAATCTTCACTGTGTTTTTTGAAAGCAGCGTCTTGATTCATATTCTAACACCACAATCATTTCTCACTTGGATTAAAGGGACACAAGCAGTGTAACATCCATGCAGTCGGTTTTCAGTAACAATGCAGCATTCAATGGTGATATCAGTTCTTGGGGTAAGCCAATCTTGTTGTGTCTCCCTCCATTGAAACCCTCCATTCACCTTGATGGTTTCACTATGCAATATAAATGGCAGATACAAGCAGGGTCAACACCTTGTCAGAAACATTCTATGGTGCAACTTCGTTCAATGGCGATATTTCAGCCTGGTAAGTTGATGCTGGCTGAACCAGAAACTAACTCGCCGTTTCTCAGATTGATCGGAATGTATCTCTCTGAATCTGTAGGCAGACCCAGTCTGTGACTCAGATGTATGGCGTATTTTATGGAGCAACATCATTTGATGGTGATTTGTCTGGTTGGTAAGTTCTATTAGTAGCACATGGACACTTTATGATGTTCCTGGAGATCTAATTCACACTCTCTCTGCATTGCAGGCAAACCGGTGCACTACGCTAAAAGCTAGTGTAAAGATCTTTCGAGTGTTTTGAGTTTGAGAGAATGAAAGTTATGAGAGAGATTAGAAAGCTATGAAAACTAATCAACGAGAGAGATCATCATCAAGGGATCGTAGATCTGGCTTCCGCGGGAGACTATAAAGTGTGATAGAGTAGGTTGCGGTAGTAATCCTACATCTCTCCACGATCCTAAAACGGAACGCGTGGAAGGTTTGTCTAGCCTGGATCTAGTAGCGTGGAAGTACTCCACGCTGGCTAAATATCTAGAGCGATGTTTCATCATCAACCTAGTATGACTAGCGCGGTCATTGAGAACCCTGTCTCAAATGACTATTCACGAGAGACTCAGTCATGAGTCGAACTCAAACCTATCTAGGATCGAGTCGCGAATAGGCTAAGAGCCGTGTACGTGATTATTCTGATTCGCCCCCGTAGGGACAGTGAGTCGTCGTCATACATGATCAGGCGAGCGGACAGCGTCGGACAAGCCGCAGTACATAGTGGAGCATGGAATATTAGACATAGTGCGGTGGCGCTACCTTCGTCACTGACGTTATCTGCGTATGTTCGAATTTGCAGTGTTGCGTCCGCGTCAGAGCACGCCCGGCACTCGCACACTAGCCCTGTAATGAAGGCAGTGTCAAGTGCCTTTAGCTCCAACGATGTTGGTGTGTGTATGCTCATACGAGGCGGCTTTGTGTCATTGCTTGCCAACGTATGCTGGTAGACCTGTGCGCGCGTTGTGGCGGCAGTCCAGTTGGTGCGTGGCCACTTGTCGTTCCATGCTTCGGTAGAGTAGTGCACATCGCGAACCCGTTCTTCACGTTGTTTCCAGTGGGCTTGGATGGAAGCTTCTCCCAGGAGTGTGTGAACTTCTCTCAGGTGGAATCGCGCGAGTTTCGCGCCCTTGAACTTGATTGTCACGCGTTCGATGGGTAGTGCATAGTGGTGAGAAAGCTCGGGGAAAGGCTGAAGTGCCACTGGTCTTGGACTC